TCGTCCACTTAGTCGCTGACGGGTATATATATATTTGGGTCAATTCAAATTACTCTGTGCCAGTTGTGGTAGAGAGAGCAGACGTTCATGGCTTGACGTTGTAGAGAGGAATGTGTTGGCCGACTTGAGTAGGGGAATACTTGCCTTGGCATGGAAAGTATTGATGCAACCGTACGAAGTACTTGGACGTATACGTGCGGTAGTTGGTTACAATACACACAACTGTGGCATATAATCCATTGCCCGGCGGTGCCCTGGGGGGAAATATGCACTGGTTGTACTCTGTAACCACGTGTAAGTTCTCGCAACCATGATAGTTTCTTGAAGCTGGACTGGCGTGTTGCTGGAGCTTGGCCATCTTCATCCCCAACAAAAAAAAAGGGACATGCAGCACCAGCTTTGACTCCTCGGCCCCGCCGCCTAGCAGAGCGGGGACCAGATATGGTGGAACTTGTAGCGCGATAGTTTTTCAATAGAAGCATGTATGGGCGCTATATCTTCCGTAAGGTAGCTGCGAGTGCAACGAGGACCGATGCGTCCGGGTTCATGTCTGGGTACGGAGCACTTTAATGTCTGGGTCGCATTGCGGCCAACTTACACGCCCCTGGCCAAAGGCTGATTGGTGCCGAGTGCAAGAAATATCCAATGCTGTTTGATAGTCATGGCCAAGGATTTAAAGAATTAGAGACCGAATAGCCGGCTGGATGGCCACGTCTGAGCTTACAGCATGTCTGTTCAAGACATGTGCTTTGCTCGGGCAAGGGACACAGCTATTCTGTGACATGAGCCGAGTAGTCTGTACTCCGACTCCGTACTCTGTAGGAAATTACTTCCTCCGTACCTCATGTTGAGTTCGAACTCAACGTCAGCCATCATGCGGTTAGGAGCGGCAGTTGAGCACTCTTGAGCTGCACGGAGCATGTGTAAATGGCCTTTTTTCCACGCTTGCCACTTTATATGGCGCGTAACTGAAGCAAAGATGGGGGCAGATAGGAGTCTGATACCAGTAATGGCGGGCATCTGTGGTCTGCCAGTCTGTCCAACGGTCTACACCAAGATGGATCCGAGAGGGAGCACTTGAGCTTCGGGACTTCTCAAGTCTCCTCTGCATGTGCTTGATCTCTCCCACGCTTTGCTACTACGTAGTTGCCGAGGAAGACAGAACTGGAGGCCGAGCTGGGGTGCCGTGGGGCTTTGCGCATCCCAACAACAGCCATTTTGGTGTTCAGTTATGAGGTCAACTGGTCTGCAAGATCCGAGTCTCGTAGAGACACGCCCGCTGGGTTGGCGGGACTTTGGGGACCGCCCACTTCAACGGGCCTGCTGCTCCTTCCTCACCCGAAACCACAACGAGGCCGGCGGGCAGGCTTGGCGTCTGCGCGGATAGAGGCACGCCCCTCGTCTTGCTGCTCCACCCATACAGCACCAGGGTGGCCATGGCCGCAACGACTTGCCATCCCAACTTAGACTGCCCTTGAAAAGAAAAAAAGTCTCCTCTTCACTCGTCTCTTTTTTTTTCCTCTTGACCTTGACTGTTCAATCTCGATTTGCTCCCCCATCGAGAGACTTTATTCTTCGTGGGCACCTGTTTGGAGCTTAGGCGTGATTTTCCTCCGTCTCGCAAGCCGTCGATATCGAGCGAGCAACGAGCACACGACTCCCCCCAATCAACTGTAACGATATCCATCGCCCCTTTCAACACACAAGAGACGAACATTTGCACACAACGGATACAGTGCAACATGTCCGCGGCTCAAGCATATCTGATGGCGGCAATGCCAGATGCCAGCCTGTTCAACTTCCCCCCTACCAACGAACCCACGCCTCTCTCACCTGCGCCTGTGGCCGTCTCCTTCATGCGGCCGTTCAACATCCCCGACAACATCTACCAGGCAGCTCTTGACCCCAAGGTCCCTCTGACTATTGCCGCGCTGTACGCCGTGACTGCCAAGGCCCTGAACAAGTTCAATGCCTCCCGCAACAAGAAGCCTTGGGCCATGAGCCAAACCAGGCCCTTCTTCGCCTTCGTCGTCTTTCACAACGTGCTGCTCGCTGTCTACTCGGCATGGACCTTTTGGGGCATGTTGAGTGGCATGCGACGCAGCATCGTGAGCCCATTCGGGCCTGGCGGTGTTGCTGCCACTTCCCCACGCGTCTGGCCGCCCC